GTGTCGATGGAGTGGTGCTCATTATTTCAACATCGGCACCATCTGACTACACATTCACACTAATAAATGCATTCACTTAAAATATACACAAAAGAGAATGTAAAACAAGATATCTCAACAAAACAATCTAATTTCTCCTGTTAAGAAAATAGGACCCAAATACTGTCGTGATTCAGTCGCTAGCAGTCCTGAACGCTCTATATATGGAGCCAAAGATTAGTCATCCTTCAATAATGTGGGACACAAGCAACTTTTCTCTGCTTGATGGTACTTGAGGTTGATCTCTCTTCTGGGATTTAGATCCTACGAAGGTCTCTACAGACCATGGAACTTCTTCTCTACCGATCCGACCTAATGTTGCACTCATTTATTTTTGAACATATATTTCAATATCTATAACGTCAAAGGACTGGATGTTTCCTTTTTATATTAATTTATTTAGTTTACTCATTCTAAATATTGGCAACTTAGTTTTTAATTATTCCAGTGAATGTCTTTATGTTTTTCCGTATCGTTGACAATCCTATAATTTGGGTTGTAATTTGAGTAAATAAAACCATCAATTTTTCAAAAGATTTTTATGGTTTTTACAATCGAATTAATTCCATTTTATTTTAAAATCGATCAGTATTTCATGAACGATTATTTGGAGATAGTGAGATGCGGTCTTGTGTTATGTAGGTTTAGAAAAACATTTTCTTTATCATGCCAACGTTTCGATCTTTATTGAGATCATCTTCAGGGCTGTGTTTTCTGTGTAGATGTGTCACGGTGGTGTATCGTATTGAGAGTGTTGAACAACGCACAACCGTGACACATCTACACAGAAAACACACACTTTGAATCCTGAAGATGATCTCAAAAAAGACAGAAACGTTACGACAATAAAGAATACGTTTTTCTAAACCTTCATCACAAGACCGCAACTCACGATATCCAATTCATCATTAATTAACGGTCACTAAATACTACACATACATCATTAACATTTTCTATCGGAATATAAAGTAATTAGTTAAAAGAGCTTTTTCATTGAAAAGTGGAATCGTACGTACAAATTAAAAAGTTTTATTTTAGCGCCTAAATTCGAGCTTTAAATTCGTCGAGAATATGTTATTTATAGAAAAATGAAACAATATTTAACTGCAGGTTCTATTAGGGTAGTATTTAGATTTGCTGGATTCATTTCCTAATTTATGATTTTTATGTTTGCTTTTTATTGTTTTTAAAGGAGTAATGTTCAAGTAACGATTGGATCAAGCATATATAGTAACGTATCGTTTTATCGCTCAGGCAAAAAGACCACCGTGATAAAAATCATATTTATAGCATTAATACCCCATAAAAACGCGCTTGCTGTTTTATATTTAGGCCGTAAATTCCCGTTCGTCTTCTATTTTTCGAAATAATAACCAGAGGTGGCAGTTTAATGGAGGCAAATACACACAACATTCCTGTCACACGGCCGTCCTGTTTTTGTTCAACACCCCGTCACGAAAACTAGTCGCTCCTATGCAAATTGAACGTAATTAAATTCATTTCCCTTTCGAGACCGTCTCGCAGTACCCGCCAGTTGAGGTGATAGAAAGGATTACACAGTGAAAACAATTAGCTTCACACTCGGATGCACTTTCGGCCGTGTTTCGTGTCGAAATTTTGAGCCGTGATTCCTGCGATTAAAATAATACCTCTGTATGCGATTGTTTCCGCTTTTTCCGATACTGGAAACTGTAATTATAATCATTTGTCGGCGTCTGTCTGAAAAAACCAATTAAACTTTTTAAGTACTTGCGTATCTTTACGAACCAGTATAATTTCAGGCGAGGGTCCTTTCAATCTAAAAATTTCAACGATATCCGCAAAAATAAAATTTACACTTGTTATTTTATTATATTCTTTTTATGATATTTGAGGAGTACTGCGGTTGACGTCTATATTGTCAAAATAACGAGAAACGTCAGTGGCACTGCTCGATTCGACGGCTGAAAAACATGCTGCCAATTGCATGAATTCAAACAATGGTTGTATTTCCCAAAAGGACAGAATAAAACAATAATTCGAACCAGTATTACAACCCTTAAAGTCGTTTTTTTAACCCTCCGATGGACGTTTCTTATCTAAAATACCGACATAATTTTAATTAAATTTTCCCGACCATGAAACACAGTCTGCTATCTATCAGACGGTTCTGTTTCGTGATGGTATCACGTTTTAGGGTTATGTTTCGAAACTGTTGCACAATATTTGCGTCCAATTTCGTGCAATGCTTTAATCGAAACCGTGAGAAATGGTGTCTGGCCAAAATTTCCCGAGATCAGAATCAATTTTTTACCGAAGGTTTTACTGCGAATGCCGACCGTGAAGCGATCAAATGAAAGGCAAAGCAAACATAAAAACCTTTGCTATTTTGATGGGAATTAATGCAAGCGTTATAAAGTTAAAATGAATATAAATCAATCTAATCTAGTGAAATTTACGTTAAAGAAAGAGAACATGCCAACACTTCTGAATGGGCGATTTATATTCCAAGGTAAAAGCAAGATGTTCCACGAGCATATCAAGCCCATTAAGCGCAACAGTTTTAAAACATCATCCAACAATTCAACAGAAAGACGAGAAAACTTTTTGTTGTCTTCACGAATATGGGTAGTGATCAGTTTTTGATTCAGCACTTCTTCATTTTTGACAGTGTTTTTTTTTTGTCTTTTGGATCAAGAGGATAATGGAGAAAAATTTCGTCATCTATCACCCTAATCAAAAGAAATGTAAGTATTAATCTTTTACATCTGTTTAATTTTAACAACTTTTCCCTAGAACGATGTGACTTCGAATGAAGTCGCAACTAGCGTGAAAAATCAACAAATTGCATATGCTCATATGTAAGCATTAGATTTCCCCTTGTGGTCTGCGTAGATGATGACCTGTAGTTTGGCTGTTTCCGATCATTTTTGACCTGCCTATACTTATTCATTTGGCCTGTCAGACCCTTTTCACCGACAGAAGAATAATAAGTATATAAATAAGTAAGAATTTATGTAAAAGTAGGAAGTACCACGTACACTATCAATACTCAAGTATGTTACATATGGTGATATAGGAATATCAAATATGATATCAACATATTAACGTAAACCACCTAAACCCCAAGCTATTCAAAACGAACTGATTATTGACTCGAGTTACCTCAGTGAGTGATTTACAATGTAATTCAATAACGATGCTACTGCTTAGAGACGCCCTATCAGTTCCAGGCGACTTGGCTGCTGAGTCCTAGTGACTCAAGTTGTTCAGTTTTGGGCGATTTCAACACGGACGATCAACAGGTGAGCATATTATTTCTGCAAAACATCCTATTTGATACAAATTTACGATTCCTGGATATGCATGAATTTGTAAAAACGCATGAAAGCAAAATCTTTTTGTACCCTTTCTCTTTTGAAGCAATGATATCACAATGATTATAATTATTAATATGTACTTGAATCATGGCGGTCAACAAACAAAAACAGGTATGATGTTTCAGCTATAATTTCACTGAAGAGACTAGTGATTTAAAACATTTTTTAGTACGTCGTGTGTGGATCCGCATCAATGATGCGTTAGTAATAGGTTAGTAATTCCAGTCACAAGTTCTGTTTCTTTCGAGCAGCTACATGTGTACACGGCCTAACTCATGTTCACGAAAACTCTGGATCAAGGTATGGTTTTGAAGAAAAAAAAAGCAAATCCAGTTGTTACTACCAAGTTTTGGCCTATTTTGTAGTCATCATCAAGGCAAAACATTCTTAAATATGTCTACAGAATGATATATTTCAATTGTTTTTACAGGCGATCTCAAATTTCCTTGAAAACCGACTCAGTCCTAACATTGCCTGATCATAATATTCCAATGCTAAAGATAGAGTGAAGGAGCATAATCAAGTACACCATCATCACTTACTCATGTTCGTTAGGTGTTGATGGCGACTAAGAAGCACATCACAAATACTTAATCATCTTCGTTGTGTAGGATGGTAAAGGAGTATGAAGTACACCACCATCACTTACTCATGTTCGTTAGGTGTTGATGGCGACTAAGAAGCACATCACAAATACTTAATCATCTTCGTTTTATAGGATGGTAAAGGAGTATGAAGTACCCCACCATCACTTACTCATGTTCTTTAGGTGTTGTTGGAGGACTATCAAGTACATCACGAAAATTTATTCATATTCGATGTATTGAATGAAGGAGGAGTATGAAGTACACCACCATCACTTACTCATGTTCGTTAGGTGTTGATGGAGACTATAAGTACACCACAAACACTTAATCATCATCGTTGTGTTGGATAATGGAGGAGTATCCAGTACACCATCAACACTTATACATTTTATTCTCATGTACTACATATCAGGTTTTCCATCAAAACCGTCATCAGAATCAGTAGAAATCAAACAGGTATTGAGCACAAAGCGGCGCTTTTTTTTGGAGGAGAAGGAGCCGCGGTTTAATTCAAGCACGTAGGGTACGTATTTGAGGACACCCTGCAAAAAGGACGGAGGTGAAAAAATGAATATTCTTCCTACGTGGATGATACGGTCTACGTTCACGGAATCCTAATGGCACGCCTTTTTTTCTCTCTTCTGGAAGATTCGCCCTTCGATTTATGGCAAATACATCTTCCACGCCAATATCAATCCGAGGATACCTATTCGAAAATTTTATCTACTGCTTTTCTAACGATCAATTTGTATTTTTTTGAAATCCAGTATGCAACGCAATCTATTTCTCAATTTACATTTCAAACAGACACTTGTCATCAAATGACATTTACACAGCGAAATAGCTCGATGTGAACATGAAACGAAAATGAGAAACAGTCGGTAAATTGAATCCCAAATTAAAATGAGCATCGCAAATTGTTTGAAAAAGGTCAACAATTATTAGAAAATGTATTCATTTCGCGATTTCTACGTTGTATCGAAACGATAATGAATATATCGTGAAGAAAACTTACCTTTAATAAGACTGAAGTCAGTTTTACTAGAAGGTCGCGGACGGGAGTACCTGAAAATAGAAAATTAAATATAACGAAATAGCCCAATGGAACCTCGTTTTTTTGTCGATTCAATTGATTTATTTGAATATGAAAAATACTTAAAGCAGCGGGGAATATCTCTCAATGTAATCTTTAACGTTAAGGGTTTAACATAGATGGTAAGATGCCCATTAGTAGCCAATAATTATGGCAATCGACTTTTGATAGTATTGATCCAAGATGTTTTTACATTGATATTTGACAATAGATGACAAAGGGATGGTAACTGAAGTTGGTATTACATGCATTTTATTCAGTTGATGGTAAAGTTTGATTATTGATGTCAAGCTAATACAAATATGGAACATCCATGTTTTTCTGGAGAACTTATACCATGTTTGACCATCGATACTATCAACTAAGAATAATAATCGATATTTGATAGAATAGATACATCGATGAGTTTTGTTGACGTTTGATATGAAGCAGCCTGACTATCGAATTCGACTCGATCGTAAAACCTATTTTTGATAGGATAGATATATCGATGTTTTCAGGTAGGACTTTAACGTTTGACATCGATAATAGCAGTTAAGGATGGTAATCGATATTATAGAATAGATACACCGATGATCTCCCGTAGAAGTGTGATAGTTCATCATTAATATCAAATTGTTCAATACTATCGAACATTGATTATAATGCATGGTGTTTAGTGACCGTTAATGATTATTTGGAAATACTAATATTTCAAGATTATATATTATAATAGTATTTTAAACTTACATTTCCAAAGTTTTTGATAGTGTTGATCATGCGATTTTACTACAGAAATTACAAAAATTAATCGATTTAAAAGATCGAATGGTTAAAGTAAAATTAATAACGCTATTGTCGCATAGTCTTCTAAACTTCTCGAGTTTCACAAGGGTCGCACTTAGGGACTTTTCTTTTTAAAATCTATATAAACGATATCTCCGTTATAACCCTACTTTTCTCATATGATTTAAAAGTATTTTTAAAAATTAATTCTGTTTCCGATTGCTTACAACTTCATTATAAAACTTAATAATTGGTGTTCAACTAACGAAAATGGCTATATAAGAATTTTGGAGTCAAATAAATAAAAAAATATTTTAAAAAACTAACAATATTCTTTCAAATTCTGACAAATGTTCAGATATGACTTTCCATAAAATAAAATATTCTATCAAATTTAACTACGCTTTATCAGACTCGCTCCTAATTTGACGTGAAAAGATTTTGGGGTCATTATTGACAGTCAAATAACGTGTGTGGTGATTAGTGACCGTTAGTCAATGATTATTCGGAGATCGTGAGATACGGTCTGGTGTGACATAGGTTTAAGAAAAACATTTTCTTTATCGTACCAACGTTTCGATCTTTATTGAAATCATCTTCAGGGCTCAAAGTGTTTGTTTTCTGTGTAGATGTGTGATTCTTGTGTATCATGTTGAGAGTGCCCAAGTGTCTGTAGGTATTACGTTGGCGGCATTGAGTTTTAATTGGTGTAATTTTTGTATTAGTGCCTTAATGTTTTTAATGCTAGTAGTCATTTCTATGTTTAAAATGTTTCTTTTGAAATGTCTTTAATGTTCTTGTGCATGTCGTTAATTCTGGTGTTTGATTGTGTTAATGTGGCATTTGTGAGGTTAAAGTTGTTTTTGATGTGAGTAGCGAATACCTTGTGTTGTCTGCATTTCAATAAAAAAACTTTTGATTGATAGCCGATGCAAGTTTCTTCTCATTGTTGGCGATGTCCTTCAGACTAGTCTTTGCTTGGGTTCATATGGGCGCTCTAAACATGACACACAAGAATCACTCAACTACACAGAAAACAAACACTTTGAGCCCTGAAGATGATCTCAATAAAGATCGAAACGTTGGCACGATAAAGAAAATGCTTTTCTAAAACCCACCTCACACGAGGCCGCATCTCACGATCTCCAAATAGTCATTGATTATAATTTTCTATTATCAATATATAGATTGTTTTTTGTTGGAATTCGATGTTAGGCCACTGATACTCCTCAATACTATCGAGCATTAATAATAATGTTTGTTTATTATTATCAATCAATACATAGATATTTCCCTGTTCGATTTCGATGTTTGAACATTGTTTGACGTAAATCAGCCTAATTCTACGGACCATGGAACCTCGTTTGATAATATGAATAACTTCACTAATTTCGTGGTCCGCTTGACCAATTAATATATTACAATTAATTAAGGTTTTTAGTTGAGATAAAAAAGTCAATGGCACGAGCAGGATTCGAACCCACGATCTTCGGCTTGATACGCCGCTGCTCTACGGCTTGAGCTATCGTGACCTCGATCCACTCGGACACTAACTTCCCATCTCAACCGCACCTTTTGAATTTTCCCTCCTTTTTGCCATTTTTCAAGCCGTATCGAACCGAAGATCGTGGGTTCAATTCCCGCTCGTGTTATTGACTTTTTTATCTGAACTAAAAACCTTAATTAATTGTAATATGAATAACCTTTTTTTCATGACTATCGATATCAAGTTGACCGCTACTTTCCAAAGTGAGAGGAAGCCGATTATTAGGATTATTAGAGTTAAATCGATACTGGTAAAGTTGATGTTTGACCATTATTGACAAGTCGCGTCTTGCTATCGAATATGGATGTAATTGTTGTATGATAATATGAATGGCATTTCTTGTTGGCTTGTCAGGAGTCCTCTGCCAGAGAAAATTATACAATGTGATTAAAGTTCATTGTAGACAAATGCAGTTAGACGGCGATTATGGGTAATATCTTACGGATTGAAAATTTTCATTAAAAAGAATTGCGAATCAATTAAAGCAAGTACTTATTTCCAGGTTGATAAATTAAGTTATCTTTGTCTTTGATGAGTTATTAAAAAAGAGAAAAACGGAAGGGATAAAAGCAGTACTTTAAGGGTTTATCGATCAAAAGACAAAACGTACAGTACTGGCGTATAAAATTATAGTGTTATAAACAGTAATTATTGATTTTATTATTATGCATCCTTGGCTAAATTGTAATGTTTCTAATAAACGAGAAATGGATGGCAGAGGAGAGAATAGGAAGCAGATGTAATGTAATATTCCTGGCTGCCCCGTGATAAAGACACCTCGTTTCTTCTGTGGGCCGCTTTTCCCAGCCGTTATCTTCATTCAGAAGCGTTTCTCCCGACATCATCAGTTTAAGACCCGTGAGCCTGCGTTTCTCATTGTTGAACGCTCAGAGAGAAATTATAATAATGGGAGAATGATAGGGATCGGGTGTCAGCTTCGGTGTCCTTTGACAGCATTAAACCGTCGGGAAATTCGATCTGAGCAGTTTCTTCAGTTCGTTAGCGTTTTTATTTTCTAAACGGTTTTTAACGTAGTGTAAGACAAACTGCGTACAACGTATTATTTCCATTTTTTCTGAGAAAATAATGGAAAATTAAGGAAGCGAAACGTTCACTGGGTTCACGCCGTTAATCCTACCATTAGATGTCCAACACGCAATGGTAATTATATTGATGACACGCATTCAGAAAGAAATTCCTTAACTTGTTTTATTTTACTATTATTTATGTCTTATTTTTTTAAGTTAAAACAGTTGTTTTTAAATTGAAGACCCATCCTTTTTCTTTCAAAAAATTAAGTCATCGGAGCTTAAAGGGCAAGTTCCAGGTCAAGAGAGGATATTTTATAGGCATGCGCCATCTGAATTTTTACATCGTATGTTGTCAGTTGTTTGTAAATTGTAATTTTTTTTATTCCATGTATGAATTTCACTGAACACTCCATCCATATATATTCTTTGTGTAAGCAAGGTAATACTTACTAAACGAACATGTGATAGCAGTATTAATTTACTTTATGTATTCCAGTATGCCTGTAGTTTAATTTTCAGTTTTTCTTTTTCTACGATTTCGGAAGACAGATTTTAATAATATTTTCCCCCGAGTGTATTTGAACTAATAGTTTATATGCGACAAGAGCGTAAAGCTGGGAACACACTTACCCGATGCTACGCCATGCGACGCTACACGACGCCATGTCACGTTTTGGTGGGGTGTGCACATCTATCCGACGCAAGCACACGTCGCGTACAGTACACAGCGTTTATCACAATAATCACTATCACAAACGCAACGCATCTTTTGTTCTTAACGCACTATTTTGAGCACAACCTTGTAATAAATTGTTAGTTAAATTTTATGAGCACAACCATCTAATAAATTGTTTGTTAAACTTAATTGTTTTAAATAAAGTTTCTCCTAACCATCATAATTAAACAATGTTTATAAAAACTTATGCATTTTTGATCTCGTTTAATTTGGTTTACATTAAAATAACATGTTGTAATTAATATAACGACAAAATTACATGTACTTAGTTTGAAATAAACTACAAAAAATATGAGTGACCTGTTCTGATGCTACCCGACATTACAAAATGGTGTAATTTTACGAGCAAAACTATGAAATAAATTGTTAATTAAATTTTTTGAGCAAAACCTTCTTATAAATTCTTCCAATTTTAGTATATGTACCGCCGAAGCGAGTGCAATAAATTGTCAGTTAAATTCATTATATCAAAAAATCGTATTCCGGTGTTTTGATTAATTTTGTATCAAACCATTAAAATTAATTTTTAATCACAGTTAATTTGGTTTATATTAAAACAAGTATGTTGTAATTGATATAACGACAATAATACATTTAGTTTGAATAAAAATATGAGTGTCCGGTTCTTTTGTCTTCGACTGTACTCGATGCGACCCGACGAAAATCTGGACAGTGAGGATCGCAGAGCGTCGGGTAGGTTAGCGTGGCATAGCATCGGGTAGATGTGCACGGGGGTAATGCAACCTTATGGAAAATCGGAGTTGGATTTGCGTCGGGTAGCATCGGGTAGCGTCGCATGGCGTAGCGTCGGGTAAGTGTGTTTCTGGTTTAAGGCTGTTCGATTTCAGGGCGTCGCCGTTGCTGGATTCGAACCCACGTCCTATAGCTTAGAGT